TTTGCATTAGATGGTCTGTGGTATCAAATTAGACACAGTTATACAAGGTATAGGCACTATTTCTATCAGGCTTCTTCGCCTGTCTTGGTGAGGGTTTTTTTTTTTTTTTAATTTTTGCTAGAAAGAAGCAGAAAAACCAGCAGAGAGATAGCCAGACGATGGTAAGGAATGAAAGCCCCCTAATGAATTCCATTTTCTATCCCATTTCTCATATAAAGAAACCAATTTCATTAAAGTTCCTCGTTTATATAAAATCAGCAAATCACAGCAAAGCATTTGACATGGTTTCCATGGTAGCACAGAAGGCCATGACCCAATTTTATGTCTGGCAGATCAGATATGAGATCGCTCAGTGCGCGTGTGTTTATGTTGTTGTGTGTGCAGACGGGTGTGTGCACACAGACGAGAAGTTTTCCAGCGAGCAAACACAATCCTGCTTGCTTCTCAACTTTCTAGGGTTCTCTTACACACATGAACATACACACAGTAGTTTGTAGGTGTAGAAGTTTTTGTCGTTTTTTATTCCTTTTTTTGTTTTTATCCATTTTGTCTCTTTTGTGTGGTGCATTGGTCATTTTGTCTTATAAAGTTGAGTTGCGTTGAGCACAGATGAACACAGATGTAATTGTTTACAAACAAAAGCACTTGTTTCTCAAATCTGATAGGCCAGATCAGGTCTGGTTCTCCTAGTATACCCTTGGGTGCTTAAGGCAGCAACAAAATTTACATTGTTGTTTCTGTTACAAAGGTTTTGCTTTTCATTTTATTTTTTTGTACCAACCTGGAGTTACAGAGATCTCCCCTAATCTGGCTTCTCCCCTTGTACTGTACCCGGCTGACCCATGTGACCCTAGGCCCCCGCCAGCATAGCTCTCAGGCTGATTGAACAACACACAAGGGTTGCGATCCTATATGTATGAAAAAATGATGCAACGACAGGGATTTTTATTTCAGATAAGGTACAGGTAGGAGTGGAGACTCATCGCTGTTTATGTTTCCTGTTGGAAATCAAGCTTGGCTGCGGTTGGCACAGATTTAGCATCATTCTGCAGCAGGGAATAGTATTTTCTTTTGATATGTTTGGAAGGAATGGATGTGATGTTAGCAACAGTAGACAGTTGTTTCCAGCCTGGGCACAGTTTGCATAAATATTCTTGTCCATTTGTGCAATAAAAGTGAAAATAATATCTGTACTTCTCAAATGTTAGAGCACTCCATGAGAAAAGGAAATCAGCTGATTGACAAGTCCAAATAAAAAATGGCACATTTATTTTTCAATCCTCCCAGCTTGCATTCTTGAATATCAATATTATAGTTTAATTAGTACAGAAAACAATAAGTTAACCCCATGATTCAATAACTCATAGATCCACTTTCAGTAGCAATAACTTGAAGCATAATTTTCTATAAGATTTTCTCAGTCTTTTCAGTGTTTTGGAGCCACGTTGACTAGACTATAGCAGCACCTTGATCTTTTTCTTTTTCTTTTATAGATTTGCTGCTGTGCTCTGGATTATTATCCTGTTGTCTGACCTAATTTAGGTCAAGCTTTAAGACGGATGGCACATTTCACTCTACGATTATTTCGCGTACAAAGGATTTCGTCGTTGATAACTCCAAGGTGCAAAGGTCCCGTGGCTTAAAAACAAGCGTAAATGGTCATCTGTCCACCGCTGTGTTTAACAGTTGGTATGAAGTATTTGTGCTGATATTTGACATTTTAATTGTTGTGTGTTATTGTCCAATATCTCCATTTTGGTCCCATCTGTTGAAAGAATGTTGTTCCCGAACTCTTGTGGTTTGTTCAGATACAACTTTGCAAACCTAAACAACATCACCATGTTTCTCTTAGAGATATGTCACCTTCTCCTGGTAATCATTCCAAACAAGACATATTTGTTCTTTTTTATTATTTATTTATTTTTATTGTGATACCATGAACATTTAACATGCTAACCAAGGCCTATAGAGCGTGAGCTGTAGCTCTTTGTTTTTCTGAAGTTTTTCTGAGAGTAGCATAGTTTGACCTTGAATTCAATTTGCCGGAACGTCGACTGCAGGAAAGATTGTGGCATTGTGATAATGCACACCTGAATGCTCCAGATCAGCAGACTGTAAAAACTTCTACTTTTATAGAGGTGGTGACATTTGCTCAATTAATCAAGTGCATTTGATTAACAGCACCTGGCTACTATTTACCCTCTTAATTCCTGTGGAAGTGGTAAAGGTGCACTTAGTCTTTTATAGATCTATTTATGGTCATGTGAAAACTTTCTTTGTCATATGACTGAAATTATAAAGTGATTGCTAAATTTAGTAGAGCAATTAAATTTGTTACTGCAATACAGAAATATATAAAGTGATTACGGAAGTGACTTACTTTAGGTTGCATTACAAGCCGCTGTTGCCCTTGTGAACAACGGCATGAGCCTAATGAGGCGTAACTTGCTGTGCACCACTCAGTTTTCGTAACTTCACATATGCGGTCCGGTTGGAGACATGAGTGTAAAAGAAGGTCAATCTTTAGCATCATTTCAGTAATATATCAGTGCAGGAGCTCAGAGAGTCCCAGATTACAGAGATGAAGGTGCTGCAACAGCTTGAAAAGATAAGTTTAGAGAAAAACTAAAAAAGTAAACACAAGAAAAAAGCAAACTGCAATCCTTTAATGCTTGCTACCTGTTTCTTCTATTCGTCAATCAGTGCTCACACAGAATTAGATTTTTCTAAACTGTGGCCCCTATTTATTCAGTGTAGTGATACTCAAGTGCCAATGTAAATTGTCACATGGCCATGATGAATTTGCAGTTGGCAGCAACCAATGCACTAACCACAAACAAGGTTTAAGAGGAAAAGGATGTAGAGGAAGGAGAGAAGGGTGAGAAAGAATAAGAACAAGCCCAGTCATTTCCGTCATTCCAGAATTGCAAGACAGGCACATAAGGGGGTGAAAGGACTGGCATCACATGATTTGCTGTAGCGTGTAATGGTGAATACTTTTTCTTCTGTACATATGGGGGAAAAAAAACAATGCTTGGTTTTGAGCACAAATAAGTCTTTTTTAAGCAGCTGCTAATGTTGCTGACAGTTTACTGCTCAGACAAAAGGATGGGAGGCTTCGAGAAAACCACAGTGATCTTCAGGTTTAGCCCTTCGTTTCAGTGTTATGGAGGTGGTTCATTGAGAGGGTTATCTTAGCCTCCTGAGCAATCAATTTGAAGACACTCTAAAGTTTTTTTTATCTTTCTCTAATGAGCTGCAAAGAAAACTTTAGATCCCTACGCAACTTTAACTGCATTTTTTTCCCGTTGGCCACAAGCAATTATAAAGCAATTTTTACAAGGCTTAGGTGCCTGAAAATAGCACCTAAGCCTTGTACTTGTTGACCTTATATTAAAGTTAGAGATAAACGACGCAAACTTAGTATTTTTAGGTCTTTTTTAACAAGCAAAGTAGTCTGTTCATTTAATGGAACATGAAATGGTAGTGATATGTTAGTACCTGTTGGCCAAAAGATTTTAAATGCTCACACACATATATTGTTTTCTACCACACATGCTCACACCCACTACTCTTTTGGCTAGTTGCAGCTGTGTTGCTGTACAGTTTGTCCATTCTGTTTTTCATCCCTTCATATTTTTCTAACATAATACTTCGATCATCTTGGTAAAATATGCTGTTCTACTGCCAGAAGACCTGTCAGTGTTTGTGGCTGACCTTTCTCATGTGAGCACACTCCTTGGGTTTACTTTTCGAGCTAATAACCACCTTCGTGTAACTGCTCAGCATGATTTCCTGTTGTTTGGGCGAGTTGGACTTGGTTCGTAGCGCAGAGCCCTGGTCGTTATGTACCATCATCTGTTGAAAGGGCAGATGCCAAGTGAGATGTGTTATTAGTCTGGTAATGGGTCACTTGCATTGTGCTGGAGCGGTACAAATGGAGTCAAGCGGATACATTGTGATTCATTTTTTTTATGTAGTTGTTTTTTTCCACTTTTATTTATTTATTTTTAAATTTTTTGCCTCCTCTCTGTTTAAATATTTCCCGTAAACTAAAACAGGTCCTTTATGGTTAACGACATGAGAACATCAGCAAATATAACGAGGAGCACATTAGACAAACGCTCAAGTTATTCATCACAAGTTCACCACTAATACAAACATCCCTGTTTGATTTTCATTGACAGTTTCACCCACAAACAACAAATAACAGCACATTTTGTGACATTTCCAAGTTTATCATTTCTCATGTAATGTGCTTTCTCAGACCTCATGGCTTAATTTTTGTTTTTGCAGATAATATGCCCAGCTTAAATGTCTACAACTCACTGATACCATTTAAATGGTCTTTTCTTCCTGTTCGTACTGTATTTCTCTCTTTGTTTTTGCTTTCCAGTAGTTGTCTAATTCCCAAATTACTTCACCACCCACCGATGATTGTATTAAATTAATCGAGTTTATTTCATTTTGCCATCTGTCTTATTAAAATGTTTACTTTTTAAAAATATTTCGATGTTTTTCTTTAATTAATTCCAGGCTGAGAAAAGCAATTAAATCATTAAAACATTTGTTGTTTTCTTGTTTCTTCCTGAAGTCTGTCTGTTATGTTTTGCGTTCGCAGACATTCTTCAGTATTCCAGGTATAGTTATAGCAGAAGGAAGCAGAGTAGCCCCACTAAATGCCTTTTTCCCCCCTCATGTCGCTCTCTTCCTCTCTGGCTCTGTTATTCTCCACATAATTGCCCTTGACTTTGTCTACATCCGGCATATCATTTCCAGGTATATATTTAATTGAGAACATGAAGAAAAACTGAGGGTTCCGTCTGAATTGTTCCTGCTTCCTTTTCATTTATTAATCATTTTGGACCAAATGGTTTCTCTGTATGTTTCTGTTTAACTCCAGAGGTAATTGAATTCTACTTTTTACATCCTGAAGCTCTGGACGCTGCGTCTGTCTCTCGAGCCAAAGGATTATTAAACCTGCTTTTATTTTATTTCAGGAACATTGTTGGTGGACAACATGCACATCAACGGCGTGGCTGAAGGTCCGGATCGAACCATCTCTCTGTCCCTGAGGGACAACAACGATCGCTGGGTCATTCTTGACCCTTCCAAACAAGCCCTTTACCTAAACAGCACGGGACGGGTTCTGGACAGAGATGTAAGATTTATTCTAGCTTTTCTTCAGTCGCGTTCACTCATTGTGCTGTATGCCAAACTAAAAGTAAAATTGCTGCTTCAGCAAATGCAGTTTTTGCTCCTAGTTTTTCTTTATTTCGATTGACCCCAGGAGACATAAACAATGGAAGTACATTTACATTTCTACAGCTCTTATATATTTATTTTTACATGTTTTTTACTTTAGCCATCATGTGCTGTTGTGAGAAATTTAGCAGGTTTTAGCTCTTTTTGCCTCTGAGTAAACATTCATCATCCTGTTCTAAAGTAATCCAGCGCTTGTTTTTGACTGTGTGATTTGGCACAAAAAGTAAATACAATACACAAAGTCTTTGTGTAGTCCTTTTTTGTAACATCTTTTTTTCCCTCAAGATAAACATAATTGATTTAAAATTGCACATTTAACATTTTAAGAACCTCTTTCTCCTCCTGTGTTTCCTCTTTTCCAGCCCCCCTCGTACATTCACTCCATCGTGGTTCAGGTTCAGTGTACCAATGAGCTGATAGGCACTGTGATTTTACACGAGGTCCGCATCGTTGTTCGAGACCGCAACGACAACGTGCCCCGTTTCCAGCAGCCGAGATACTACGTCGCCGTGAATGAGGTAAAAACCCAGTCGCACACAAAAACGTGCGCCATCTCTGTCTGTGAAGTAAAGCTAAGTCAAAAGAAAGAAATAAAGCAATAAAGCCATTCATTAAACCAACCTGCACAGCTGCTGCTGTTGTGAAAGTATTAATCAAAGTCATCGATTTGAGTTTGAGAGCCGAGTGTGTTTGTAGGGGGGCTGCAGCTCACTCATACATGAATACAACATATCAAGTGTACTGTACACTAAGCCTTTCCACTGCTGCTCTTTCAGTCATGCCCTTTTATATATTCTATAGAGAAAATGCAGCAGTGCACATCGTCTGGCTTTTTGTGTGCGTTTTTGCTGTCATACCAAAGTTGAAGGGCAAGGTAGTGAACAGTAATGAAAAAAAATCTCAGTTCTTGGGCAGCTATATGAGCGATCTATATCTGTTATTCTGGGGTTTCCAAAATAATCTTTATGATGCCAATCCCACAGTTAGTTTGTTCTCCAGAGTCTGTAGAAGCAAAAATATAACTAGAGGAGGTTCAAACTTAAGCTGGACAAGGATACATGTAGCCGGCTGCCAGCACAGTCCTAGCAGTCCCGGTAGAATATCTCATTATACAGTCTTCCACAGCCTGTCCAACTCAATCTGTCTTCTCAGTCTCTCCCTTTCTTTCTCTTGGCCTCTCCTCTGTTTTTGCAGAACACCTCTCCCTCCCTCCCTGGCTCTCACACATATACACACTCACATGCCCCCTCACCACTCCCACCTCTTCATTATGTCACCTTTTCTCAACCTTTCCCACCTTTTCGTTGCCACACTATATAAATTTCTGGTTGTCGCCGATTCTTGTCCCCACCCCATCACCTCCTACGCATTTCCACTTCCTCATTACTCCTACTATAATAGTTTCCTCCATTCACTACCAAGGTTCACAATACAATTAAGAAGATGCACTGTAAAAAAAAATATGATCCCTGTGGAAGGCCAAGATAAATTTATTCTATTTTGCGGTAGTAAGTTAAAAAATGAAAACATTAATTCAGATGTAGGTAGTAATTTAAAAGTAGTAGCACATTTATTGGGATCTGAGTGGAAGTGGGCTCATTAGGTGGTCAGCTATTTTCTAATTCACTTCTATTGGCCCCAGAACTCAGACAAAAGCAGTAAATTTGAAATCAAAAGGCGTTCATCCACTTTCATCTGAAATCTTATAATCTAGTCTTCTTCTTTGCTGTCTATTTCTAAGAAATACTGACTACAAGCAAGTGAGTCAGACTTATAAGACAGACAGATGATATATGGTTATTTATAAGGATGTCTAGGACACAATTTATGAGTTCAGTGAGTATTTTTTCTGAGTACAAGGTGATCACTGTGGCTGATTTCATGAGCTGGCACCGGTGCTTGAGTCTGGAGTTGCTTCATTACAGCTGTATCCAGAAGTGGCAAAGTGACAGCATGAGACATTCTGAAGACCATTGTGAGATCAGTGGGAGGCAAAGATAACCCTGTTGAGGGAAATGATGTAACAAATCACTGGTGCTACAGCTAAATTAAAGTTAATCGCAGATGCTTCCAGTGCTGTCTGGAGATTAAACTTCTGCTTTGACACGTAATCACAGATCCCTTGGCACATGGATCGAAAAATATAGCACAGCGATCCATATATTGGCAAAGTTCGTCTCTTCTACGCACGGTGGCAAGTGTGCCTCTTCCACCCTAAAAATTTCTCTTAGAAAAATGAAATCAAAATGAATGGCGTTCTTTTTGAATGCCTTATCTGTTCTCTGTATGAAAGCAAGCTATCTTTTTCTGACTGTGACATTGAATTTAAAGGAAAATACTGGCTCACAGATCAGTGAGTTTTTGTAAACAACTGCAACAACAAGCTATTTTACAGTATTGTACAAAAATCTTTAGCTGCCACTCTTTATTTAAATATTTTGGTGGGATAATGGGAAGTACATGTAGTTATTTACTGAAACATGCAAACATGCAGTGCATAAGTACACAGTATATGAGGACGATGAGTTTAAAGGAGCTTTAAGGTGAATATTTAGTATGACCACCTTTATTTTTCAACAAGTCTGAACTCGATTAGAGAAGCTTTTTTGTCATTTCTTAGTCTTAGTCCTCAGGAATAGTTCTCCGGGCATCTTGAGGGACATTCAGAGCTCTTCTTTGGATGTTGGCTGCCTTTTGTCCTGTTCTCTGTCAAGATGATCCACACTGCTGCAATAATGTTGTTGTCCGAGCATCTCTCAGGTCCTGTGTCAGGTCTTTTTTCCCCCCGTTTCTGTATTTTCCTATTTCTCAAGGACATGACTTTCAGATGCTGCTTATCTGCATGACTTTTTTAAGCCTGTCACGTCTTCTTTTGTCTTCCATTAGTCCAGTTTGCTCAGTCTTTTTTAAGGACACTGCACACCATGTGAAGATACCACCATGACAAGTTTTAAACAATTTGGGAATCCTGTTGGTGGTGAAAAATCCTATTTTATGTTTGTCAAACTGTTTCTCTTTGGCAATTTTTCAAGCCTGATTTGACCCTGATTTGACATATGGCAATGTCATGCCATATACTTACTAAATAAAATATATTAAGTTTTGATAATGTAATATATTACTCAGATGGATGTTTAGTAAATAAGAGTCTCCATGATGCTGCTCTCCCATGTTTAAGGGGATTTGTCCAGCTTTGCTCTCAGTAAATGAGCATAAGCAAGGCACCAGTTTGCGCAGTCAGCTTTGTCCTATAAATCAATTAAAACTTGTAATATGCTTAAAAACAATTTGAACACTGGTGCAAGTTAATGTAGTTTCTCTCTGGATTTGAAACAACGGATTTTGACTGTGAGTCTTGTGAGCATCAGTTTGTGATTCTTAGTTTATGATAACTTTTTCTTTTTTTGTGTAATTATTGATTAACATTTTGATTTGTGTGGCTTTCCCTTTGCTACCATACGTGCAGGTATTTGAGTTTGTGTATGTGTCTCTTCTGATAGACTTGAACTGGATCTCACTGTGTTTTAACCGATCCAGGGACTGCAGATGGAAATGAGCTCGTACCTAAATGTGCTACAAAGCATATTTTCTCTTTTTGTTCATCTAAATTGAAATAAATAAACAAACAAACAAACAAACAGCACAGTGTTGGTTGTTGCACTAAAGGTGTATAGAGAAAAATATTAAAACTCTCTTTTTCTGTTGTGTTTTCAGCTGACTCCAGTTGGAACGACTATCTTTTCTGGTTTCTCAGGAAACAATGGAGCAACAGACATTGATGACGGTCCCAATGGACAGATAGAGTACACCATCCAGTACAATCCGAGAGACCCGGTAGGTCATCCACTTGCCCACTGATCTCTGTCAACATGGTGTAGCATGGGTATATGTTCACTAGAGACCAAGCAGCAAAGCTGCATAAGCAGTTTTAGTGCTTCTGCCTCTTTATTCTTCCTCTTTCTTCTCTTTGACAATAGAGTATAAAGCAGTACTGATTTAAATTTTGATTGAGATCACAGTTGAGCACTGTTTACTTTTTCTTCTTGCCAAAACCGATCTTAGAAATCATATTTTTTAACAATCTGCTCCAGCTTCTAAAAACAAGTTACAAATTGGTTTCCTAATGCACACCAGCAAAATTAAGCAAAAGACAACCAACATCCAGAAAGGAGCACTTACAATTCCCTATTTACATCTTTATATAAAATATACATTATAGTAACATTAATGTAATAAACAATAAAAAAAAAAAATTAGAAATTTTCATTTGATGCTCAAAAACAGTAGCCTATTACATTAGATTCTCCTTGTGCTTTACTTTCATCTCAGCCATAATTAATGTTAAAGGCTGTTTGGAGTAAATTACTTTTCACCGTCTCAGGGTTTAACTGAGCTACCTGAGTTCAGTAGCAGACTGACGAAAGGCATTTACTGTTCTAAGATTAGTGATCATTGCTAAAGACTGCACAATTAATCTTCTTCATAAAGTCAGCTGTAGCACCGTTTCTTATCTCTTTAAATGTTCACATCAGTGTTAATTTTGACACCAAATTTGTTTTAAGGAGTCTTTTGACTTAAACATCATTTAGTTTTAGTTAAAATTTAGGCATCTAAATTCTTTTATTTTTAGTCTACTTTCATTCGAAGTTGATTTAATTGACCGAAAGGTTTTGTGTAAAAGTTTCTCTGTGCCAGTGAGAGCTGCTAAATGTGTCAGTAGAGGATGTCAACTCATCTCCTCCTTGTGTGTTGACATTTTGTTACGTTTTCATGAGAAACAGGGAGCTCATACCTAGGGCTGGGCGACATAATCATGAGTTTGTCCACGTAAGATGGTTAAAATGGCTTTATCGTAACCACTGAGTATGAATTGACATGTAAATATTGAGCAGTCGCCATGAGTTTTTCTTTTATCCTACGCACTGCGAATGCATCATTAATTCCGCCATCCCAGAAAATTTTCTACCTGACACAATGCTGAGCATGCGTGTTTATCTACTACCAGTAAAATATGGTGACAGGAGGAGTTTCGGGCAAGCGAGACTCGCTGGATTTTACATGGAGCTTGCAGAACAAGATGCAGTAATTTGAGCAGTTTGCAAAATATGCCGCAAAACTATTGCCGCAAAAGGTAGCACTAGCATGAAATATTCCGCCAGCTGAAAGTGCAAAATTAAGACTTTTAAACTCTGCATTAATTATTTTACAATTTTTATATGTTATAAGCACAGAAGAGCACCTTTTTAATTTGAATTGTTTTATTTTGTGTCGTCAATTCTTGCTTCATGTACTTTTTTGTTGCTATTATCTTTTTTTTGTTGAAGGCCTAGTGTTGACCACAGAAAGAGACTTACTGTGACAGTAACCTCTGTGTCAACTGATGGTTAAAATGGTTTAAATAAAACATTTCAATTCATTCAGATTTTTGTTGTTGTTGTTGTTTTCAAAATGGAAAAATAATGAATAGTTAATTTGGATTTAAACATTTGGTGATATATTGTGTATTATGATATAGCCCCCCAAAAAATATCACAATATCAGATTTTCCTCAAATCTCCCAGCCCTACTCCTACCCTGTTTGTTGTAGACAGATCAAACTGTAGTGCACTTAGTGCACAAGAAGATTCTTCTGATTGGATGACTTCTGAATGCATCCTGCCTCACTATAAAACTTAATTAATTCTGATTTGAACTTGTCTCTCCATAACATTGTCATCTCATTTTTGTCCTCACACATTTATTTAATTGTCTTGTCTTCATCAGAAAAAAGGTCTTTGACACAAACTAGTCAAAGAAATTAACACTTGTTCACATTAAGCTTTAGTAGAAACACTGAGATGTTATCTGTGCAGTTGAGAAATGTTGATGCTGAATCTCAGCTCCTTTGAATAAATTCTTTATTTCTGTTTTTTGTTTTAGCAAATTGTTGTCAGTACTGTGTCTTCTTCTGGTTTATTTTTCTTTGAATGTCACCTATTTTATAACCATACTAGTCTTTATTTTTTTCTCTCATCATAATAATTCTAATGAATTATTTTAAATATAGATTGCATGAATTTATTTTTTTTTAAGTTTTGTATCATGTCAAGAAATCTAAAATATATTTATACTGAAATTGCACAGTCAGGTTCATTGCTTAAACCAAACAAGTGTAATGCATGCCTTGTCAAAACTGTATTGAAAGAGAAAGAGTGAATGGCCGACCCTGGCTGCGACTCACTCTTGATGTGTGTAATGTATCTGTTTGTCTTTCAGACAGCTAACAGAACCTTTGACATCCCGCTGACACTGTTTGGCTCTGTAGTTCTCAGAGAAAGACTCAACTATGAGGATATAACAAGATACCTAGTCATCATACAAGCTAATGTAAGTTTTTTTCAACATTTCTATTTGTGTATTATTATGTAGCACTGTGTTAGGTTGGTTTTTTTAATCATATATTAAGTTAAAGTTCTTGAAGGGAACACCTTTCATGTGGACCTGTCATAAAGAATGGCTGAAGAAAATCAGCCATCTCTCATGGGTAGGCGTGTAGACTGCTGCCTGGAGTGTTGTTTTATGTAAATTTGTATTATCATGGCAACATTAATGTTATGCAGCTTTTCTCACTATTTCTGTATTGTTGTGTGAGCCTTAAGGGATCTCTTAGAGCACCCCTAATTATCACTAATGTCTCTGTTAGCCTAATTGTTTTCCTTTTATTTCTGAGCTCTGTGTATGTTTTATTTATAAAGGTGGCTTATAGTGATTTTCACTCAATAAGCAAAGCACAGTTATGGAAAATTGTAGTTGAAGTTTGAATTGTTTGTGTGAGCTGATGGTGCCAAAAAAGTTTTTTTTTTTATTGTGTCAAGAAAACCTTGCGTTCAAAAGCAGTTCTTGAGAAAGTATTCTGCAAAATATTCATATGTCTCAAGGCCCTGAAAGCACTATGGAGAGTCAGTAGTACACTGTAAGACTAATGTGTTTCTGGCTGCTAAACAAGGTGACATATCTGTTTGTCTGAATACAGTATTAAGAGTGTTTTGAGTAGCTTTGAAATTACTGTATATAAATTCCTAACAAAAGTTTAAGCTTAACTGAACCCATACAACCACAAAATAGAAAAGAAAAAAAAATCCCTGGGAACATGGCTGACCATTTAAGCTGTACATATATTGCAGATAAAGTATATACACCTTGTGTGAAAACCTGTGGTCCGGTACGCAACGACTCACGGACTGGTACCAGTCCATGGCCCGCGGATTAGGGACCGCTGTTTTAGAGTCTGTGGTTTCAGTCTTTATGTTAAACTTGCTAACTGTGTCCACGTCATAGACTGTCCTCCTAGCTTATTCTCTGAGTCTGAAAACTGATTTGTCTTAAAACTGCATTATTGTTAATGGCCTCTAGTAGTAAAAAGACTTCAGGTTGTAAAGAAGTCTGTAGAAAGATGAGCCTCAGCTCTTTTGATCTGTAAACACTTTCCTGATGACTTCATGGCCTCAATTCCTTGAACTGTGAAATGAAACCTCGGTTTCAGTTCATGTTAAATAACACATGAAGTTCGTTTTGCAAAGTATGTTCGTTATTAGAGTCACAATAGACAATTATCCAGGGGTATAGTCAAGACTCGTCATTAGCCGATGACTGCACAGTGCTCTCAGTTTTAATTTTAGATCCATCTCTCTCTTGTCTTGTCCAGTTTCAAAACACCAAGATAGTGTTGGCAGAATTGCTTGTCATGAGTCACTGCGTGATGTCACAGCTTCTCGTCAAGCATAGCTTACAGTAATGAAGCCAGCAGGGGAAAACTCCTCTGTGAACTTGATGGAAATCTACTATTTTTTTATGATTTTTTTCAGTCTTTAAACTATATATAATCAGAGTTTAATTATTTCATATTTGTGTTTTCTGATTTCTCTTTTTAGATGGTGTCTTCAATCTTGCTCATTAAAGATGTTTCAGAAACTTTTTTTTTTTAGTTTTGAGGAGATCATTTCTTGGCAGAGGCCCCGGTTTCTTTCTTTTACTGTCGAGTAATTGGGAATATAATGTATTGCAATGATTTGATGTGATTAAGTAATATTAAAATGGGAACTTTGAGGAAACCTAATTAAGGGTTTATACCTGATATCTTGATTGTCTAGTGCTTAAGTTGTGCTACTTAGAAGAGTTTAATGGCAGAAAGCAGCTTTATCTGAACAGGATTTGAGAGTGCTCCCTCATATGCATACATAAAATGTGAAGCTGATGGAAATCTAGATGACTCACACATTGAATAGCAGATAATATCTCGTGGGTTTCTTCCTGTAAGTAAGATGTGGTGATCGCACCGACTGTTGAGTAGTTGAGGAGTTTAGTTAGTAGCCTTATTTGGCTATTTCTTGCGTTTTATCTTTTTTTTTTTCAACTGGACGGCAGATGAAAAGTAGATGTAAATATTAGAATTTAAATTGTAGAGAATAAAGATAATAAATTATCTAAGTAGACGGAAATGTTTGTGAGAATGCTTACTATCAGTCTCTCAGTAGGACTGTGTTTTTTGGGATTTACTTATTTGTATTTTTAAATGAGGCTTTCAATGAAACCCAGCTTAGGGTTTACTGGCGTTCTATTGAGTTACAAGTCATTTGAACACATCTATTTTTCAATTTGTCTGTACCAAGGTCATACATTCTAGTGTTTCTTGTTTCAAAAGCTTCAAACCTTTCCACAATAGTAACATTCTCACTGAAAAGTAATTTTAAGATTCAGTTTTTGTCTTTGAGTTCAATGTCATCAACCACCATGTGAATTGGTCAATTGAAAAGAATGTATTTGTTTAAACACCTCTTACATATATCCTTCTATTTTTAAATTAATACCTATATGATAATTATATTACCTGCAGAATATTTCCGAGTTCTAGAGTTTTAAACTACATTATTTAATTAACTTTTACCAAAAAAAATTTAAATTTATGTGACTCCTCAGAGAGACATAAACAAAACGAAATCAACCTGTAATTCCAACACGTGGGAGTTTTTGACTTTGTACAGAATACCAAATTCTGTTGTATCAATGTCATTTAGTTAGAAAATAATCAAAGCAAAATCTTCAAAACATTTTCACTGTAATTAACTGTAATCCCATAATAACCAGAAAGCATGTCATGAAATGCAGCAATGCTGTTTCATTTTTATGCAATCTTACAAAAAAAGGAAAAGGTGGGTTAGCAGTGCTACAACTTAGTCCAGCCAGTGGACCAATAAACAATTTTATTCATGCTACCAAAATATGAATAAAAAGTTTGGTTTTCAGTATTTCATTGATATGATTTTTTTCTACTACTACTACTCGGGTATCTTGAAAGGCGCTATACAAATCTAAGTTAAAATTATTATTATTAACTGTTATTATTTTCTCTTCTTAATTTTACATGGGTGAGACCAAATGTTGGAACTTAATTTATCCTTAGCATATATTTGCATTTAAGAAATGAGAAAACAGGCTTCTTTTTTGTCTAATAAAAATGTTAATGCCTTGCAAGGCTGAAACACCTGAAAGATGTTGAACATCATTTCCTGTGTATAGTTTTGAATATTTTCAGTGAATCATACAGGAGCAGATGGGAGTGGGAGCAGTGCATGCTATACTTCCATATTTGTTATTCTACTTTACTGGAATTTATGTAATATGTTGCTGAATGTGTATTTTTGTGACATTTTGGTCACCAAAGAGATTCATGAAATACAGGGTGGGCCATTTATATGGATACACCGTAATAACATGGGAATGGTTGGTGATATTAAAGTCCTGTTTGTGGCACATTAGTATATGTGAGGGGGCAAACTCCTCCAGATGGGTGGTGACCAAATTGGCCATTTAGAAGTCGGCCATCTTGGATACAACTTTTGCTTTTCTAATAGGAAGAGGGAAATGTGACACATCAAATGTATTAGTAATGTCACAAGAAAAACAATGGTGTGCTTGGTTTCAACGTAACTTTATTCTTTCATGAGTTATTTACAAGTTTCTGACCACTTATAAAATGTGTTCAATGTTCTGCCCATTGTGTTGAATTGTCAATGCAACCCTCTTCTCCCACTCTTCACACACTGATAGCAACACCGCAGGAGAAATGCCAGCACAGGCATCCAGTATCCGTAGTTTCAGGTGCTGCACATCTCGTATCTTCACACCATAGACAATTGCCTTCAGATGACTCCAAAGATAAAAGTCTAAGGGGGTCAGATCGGGAGACCTTGGGGGCCATTCAACTGGCCCACGACGACCAATCCACTATCCAGGAAACTGTTCATCTAGGAATGCTCGGACCTGGCACCCATAATGTGGTGGTATATATACCACACCAAACCATCACTTTTGTTGTTCCAAGAGTCTTGGAGGGATCCATCCAATGTGGGTTAGTGTCAGACCAATAGCGGTGGTTTTGTTCACTTCACCATTCACATAAAAGTTTGCCTCATGACTGAACAAAATCTTCTGCATGAACTGAGGGTCCTGTTCCAATTTTTGTTTTGCCCATTCTGCAAATTCTGTGCGCCGATCTGGGTCATCCTCGTTGAGATGCTGCAGTAGCTGGAGTTTGTAAGGGTGCCATTTGTGAGTAGCTAATATCCGCCGAAGGGATGTTTGACTAATGCCACTCTCCAGTGACATGCAGCGAGTGCTACACTGTGGGCTCTTGCTGAATGAAGCTAGGACAGCCACTGATGTTTCTTCATTAGTGACAGTTTTCTTGCATCCACATTTTGGCAAATCCAACACTGAACCAGTTTCACGAAACTTAGCAAGCAGTTTGCTGACTGCAGCATGGGAGATGGGTGGTCTCGTAGGGTGTCTTTCATTGAAATCTGCTGCAATGACCCGGTTACTGCGTTCACCCGATATCAACACAATTTCGATCCGCTCCTCACGTGTTAACCTCTTCGACATGTCAATAATAATAATAATAATAATAATGGATTGGATTTATATAGTGCTTTTCAAGGCACCCAAAGCGCTTTACAATGCCACTATTCATTCACACACTGGTGGAGGCAAGCTACAGTTGTAGCCACAGCTGCCCTGGGGCAGACTGACAGAAGCTAGGCTGCCATATCGCGCCATCGGCCCCTCTGGCCAACACCAGTAGGCAGTAGGGTAAAGTTTCTTGCCCAAGGACACAACGACCAGGACAGAGAGCCCGGGGATCGAACCGGCGACCTTCCGGTTATAGATACGCTTCCCAACCCCCTGAGCCACGGTCGCCCCAATGTCAATGGCTGTGAACAAAGAGAAACTTGTAAATAACTCATGAAAGAATAAAGTTACGTTGAAACCAAGCACACCATTGTTTTTCTTGTGACATTACCAATAAGTTTGATGTGTCACATGGCTCTCTTCCTATTGGAAAAACAAAAGTTGTATCCAAGATGGCCGACTTCTAAATGGCCACCATGGTCACCACCCGTCTTGAGGAGTTTGCCCCCTCACATATACTAATGTGCCACAAACAGGACTTTAATATCACCAACCATTCCCATGTTATTACGATGTATCCATATAAATGGCCCACCCTGTAGATTACAGTATGGTGTATACACTTGCTACATGAACATGAATGCTGTGCATTAGATATAGAATATATCAGATAAAAACCAGCCTTTCTGTATTATTACATGTTTTTCTTGATCATATCCTGATCGCTTTTCATTCAAGACACAAAGATAAATGTAGCCACATAATTATGCATTATCACCAAAAAAATCTGTCTGTCTGTCTAGGATCGAGCCCCTAATCCAAGTGACCGTCGAACAGCCACCACCACACTAACTGTGGATGTACTGGACGGTGATGATTTGGGTCCAATGTTTCTACCATGTACGCTTGTGGGAAATACCCGTGATTGTAGTCCCATCACGTATAAGGCTAATGTGCTTGAGCTGACCGAGCCGGTAAGTTTGTGTTTGTTCTGTACTTTGTTGTATTTGTGTGTACTGTGTGTACTTAGCTTTAAATTTTTGTAGCAATGTCCATTTGTGGATCACTTACTGTCTTCAGTGGACAATGATAACATGTATACACTCGCCGCCACTTTATTAAGTACACTGGTTCAGCTACTCATAACACAACACCAGCCAATCATATGGCAGTAACTCAATGCATTTAGGCATATAGACATTGTCAAGACAACCTGGTCAAGTTTGAACAGCAGCAGAATGGGGAAGACAGAGCATTGTTGATGCCAGTCGGGCTAGTCTTAGTATTTCAGAAACTGCTAATCTCCTGGGATTTTTCTGAATTACCATTTTTTGATTTAGGTAATATCATACAGAGTTACTTTAGTTACAACCTTTTAGTTCCCTAATTTCCAGTAAAATGAAAATGGCAGATTGCAGATGGTTTAGAAACTTAGGGGAAACTGAAATTATTAACCACAGGGTATATTGATAGACTGTGTCACTATGGATATCTTCACTTTCTTGTCTTCGAGCTTTCAAATCAAGGTCTAATGCCAATTCAAGCCAAATGTATTTACTCACTTTGGCATTTAAAATGTAGCTCGTTTTGCTGTAAACTACAGACTATGTAATTAGAATAGGGGCTAAATTTTTTTGTACGCTCTAAAAAAACCATGCTATTTCATTCTGTATGTTAACTCCTGCAGAACCCATTGTAAGTTTTTCATAAGGAATTAGAGCCATTTGAAAAGGAACCCTGATATTTTAATAATAAGACCTTGTCAAGCAATATCTGCTGGGAGTTACAATTTGCATAAAAAAAGGATTTTACTGTGTTTATACAAATGACTAATGAGCATCATTGTATACAGGGAATGTCTTGGTTTTATATTTTTGAAATACAAGTAGGTATTGTTTTCCTTCAATTATGGCAAAATTGTATGGCGGATGAAACTGCTGTCCTAAAATATGTCATGTGTGGCCATCAAAGAGTTCTTGACATTCAAAGTTTGTCTTTTATAGATCCGGCTGTTACTCTCTTTTGTATGAACAAGTGTTTCAGGGCAGATTCTGCAACACTGTAGCCCATATTTATGCTTACACAGCTGTATGTACTTTTGCATTTGTATCTGTGGCATTTAGCTGATGCTATTGTCTGGAGAAACTCAGAGTACAACTTTGTAAACAAGGGGGGGGGGAGTTGCTTTAGGCAAAATCTTCAGCTATGACAAGTCAGCAGTGCATTCATCCCTTACAACACATATACACACACCTGCACACACCCTTGATGGTGACAAGCTAGCAGTGCGTTCATGCCTTAATGCCCCCCATTCACCGACACACATGTACATAAATCCAGTATCACAGCCGTGGACCGGACACCGTCTTCTTCATCTCTCTATTTTACACTGAGATAGTTGTCGCATGCACACACATGTGCTGACTCTGCTCCAGACAGGCTGAAGGAACTATTTCTCTGCCTCAAGATTTCTCTTTTCACCTCTCTCTCTCTCAGACACACACAGACACACACACTCTCTCTCTCTCTCTTTCCAGCCAGAGGAGACAGTCTTGGCTGGGAGGAAAAACAGGAGTAAATCAACTTTACAGCTTGTGGTTTTCAGAAGGAGTAAGTGTATGTGGACAAGGACAGGGTTTAAGATGGAGATGGGGGGGGGGGGGAAGAGGGGAGTGAAAGAGAAAGGGGGGGAGGGGCTAGGCAGAAACAAACTGTTTTTCCTGGGAGTTACAATTTGCATGAAAAAAGAGGATTTTACTATACTGTCTATACAAATGACTAATGAGCATCATTGTATACATGGAATGTCTTAGTTTTGTATTTTTGAAATACACATAGCTGTTTTTTTTCCTTTGATTATGGCAAAATTGTATGGCAGATGAAACTGCTACCCTAATATATGTCACAAAATGATACTATGTGTGGCCTTCAAAGTGCTCTTGACAGTCAAAGTTTATGTCTTTCATAGATCCAGCTATTACTCTCTTCTGCATGAACAAGTGTTACGGGGCAGATTCTGCAAATCTTGAGGGGTCACAAAACCCTTGTTATGTGGCAAATGTTTAGTGTTGGGTTTAGTGTCCTTAAAACCCAAAGAAATATAGGAAAAAAACACACACAAAAAACCCCAAGTCGCTTCAAACACCAAGATTGTTTCTCACTTGTCGATTTTCTCCCAATACAGAGCTCTTGCTTACTCCAGACGCTTCGCTGATTTCAGTTTTTCTGATCTTATGCAATCACAGCAATAAAAATTGGAGTCAGTCAGATAAGCTGTGGTTGCTTGGCCTCATCTTTCTGTAAACTTTATATTCACTATTAATGAATTTCAGGCTGCGTTCTCTCTTTACACGAGTTGGGAGCAGTGCAGAAGTCAAATTAAGGCTCATATTTAGGAAACCTATTTGACTGCCAGCACCCACATGATCATCATTAAGGAAAATCATTAAGAAATCTATTTCATAACAGATTACCAAATGACTGCCATGTATTTACTGCTATGACAGGTCAGAATGAAAAAGGTCCTTCATATAGAGCTGTCCTCTAAAGAATACAGTCTTATTTATCTTTAGGCTGCTCCCACCACAGAGCATCATTTCATCTCACCCTCCTTTGTCACGCCAAATGTCCCCCTTCACTACATCATGCAGTGATGTAGTGAAGGGGGACATGCAGCTTGTTGCTGAAGGAGGACACTACATCTGTGATCCGTGATCGTCCTCTTTGCCGTTCTAGTAACTCTGTACTCACCATGCTTTGTCCAGTATATCCACTACCCCTCCTCTCCACATGTCCAAACCACCTCAGTCTTGTCTCTCTAACTTTGTCCTCAATCTGCTCACCCTGAGCCGTCCCTCTGATACACTCATGTCTAATCCCGTGCATCTTGGTAGCTCCAATTGAAAACCGTAACATCTTTAGCTCTGCCACCTCCACCCTGGCCTCCTGTCTTTTTTTAGTGCTGCTGTCTCTAAGCCATACATCATAGCAGGTCTCACTACCATCTTGTAAATCTTCCCTTTCACTCTTGCTGCTATCCTTCTGTCACAAATCACCCCTGACACTCATCTCCACCCATTCCACCCTGCCTGCATTCTCTTCACCTACGTTGTGTACTGTCCGTCCATCCAAAACAACGGAGAAGGGCATTGTCCATGATGAGTTTAAAAACCCCAGCTGCAGTATTTAAACTAATCTATTTTCAGTATCTCTACACCTTACATGTGCACCTTTCCTCTTGTTTCTCTCTCATTCACACAATTCTGTCTCAATTCCACAAACTTTTTATGAGAATACACCAAAGTCATTTGTGTCTTGTATCTGCCTCCCGACTGTCAAAAATCCCCATGAATAAAGAAATTAGAACTTTAAATTCACACTTTTATTTATTTATTTTTGTCATGAGATGCATTGAAAGAGAAAGTAATGTAGTTTCTTTATCACAGATATCTGGAAAATTGTATATCTTTTGTATTTCTGTATGGAAATTTAAAAGACATGAGCACTGGCAAAAAGAAAATAACAAAAGATGTCTCTGAGTTATGAAAGGTAAGGGAGAAATAAAGCAGTTTTGGAGATTACTTCCTTCCTTACTTGGAATTAAAATTTGCGGGAATGGGTTTGACTTTATTTATTTTTTTATTTTGTGAATTCAGTTCATAATTTTAAAGTTCTTCTTTTTAGTGCAGAACATAACAAATAACTGCTTTAATTGTACCTTTTTATTCATTTTTCAAGGTAGTTCATTTTTCATTAAAAATCAAGCATTGCTTTTGCAAAGCAGGCTTAAGCCTTTATATATTTCCTTTGTCCACAAGTTAGTCAAAGTATGAGTGTGTCTGTAACTGAGGCCTTCTAGGAAGATTTGTCTGTATTAATCAACCCCTGTGGTCTTGGTTAATACAGTATAATTGTCAGTTCTGGCCTTTGCTTAAAGATGAAAAGAAAGTTCAATGACGTATTCTTGGAATAAATAAATGCAAAATCTCTTTTTCTCATAACCCATGATTTGGCTAGCATGACAGCAGTGTAGATGAATATCTACTTCCAGCTTTCAGAATAATGAGAACTTTGACTGTTTGAATGACACACACTATATTAAATTTGCATGTTATATTTTCTGTTTCTGATTTGCTTCTAATGCACTGTGCAGAGATTCTTCTTCTTATGGTTACACTTTGACACTGAAACACTGAACCAACAGTGCTCTTTTATGCCTTACAGTGTCACTATTTTGGTCAAATGTAATCATTTCTCTTGAAAGAAATTACAGCAGCTATAAGCCTTCCTCCCTCTCTCTGATTGGTGTTTATATACATAGTAATACACAATATTATATGCACTCACATACATTTAAATGATCAGCACAATGCTTAAACTGTGCTTTTTTTCCTCATCGGTTGCCTTTGGTGCCTTTACTACCAGTGTCGCAGTTTGGCTAGATGAACGAGCAGACTGTGTGCTTTGACAGTGGCAGCTGCTCTGCACATTTCAAAATTACCAAGGAGAAAGGAGCAATTTGAATTTTACCAAAAGTCTTAGAACTGAAGAAAGCTTGCATAAACATCATTATCAAATCCATCCAGAGTGAAAAAACAGGAACAGCTTGCAGAAACTGAAGAGAAGGGTAAAGGGTTATGCTGTGCAACAGTTTTTCATGAAACACTCAAAGGTTTAACCTGAAGAATTGATGAGCATTTAAGTTACTGGGTGGTATTTTTATGCCAACAGCAGGTCTCCTGTTGGTTTGGAAGCAAAGAACTGAGGAGGTGCAGGGAGATAGGTGAAGCTATAGAAAGAATGGAACGACAGCAACAAGCTGCTGTTCCTGGTACAAGAAAATTGGGGAGGGGAGGAATGAGCGAGGAGGAGAGAAAAGGCACCGTAATAGTTTGAGTCCTAATCAGGCTGATGAGAGATGACAACCTCAGAGCCTTGGAGCCAGGATAACTATTCTCTCTCTGTGTCTTTCTTCCTCACATACACACACACACACCCCAAGATGCTGGTCATTATGCCGAGGAGTTGGCTGTCAGGCCATGTTCACACATACACTTCAAAAACACTGCCATCTCTGCAGCTCAGTATTTCATAGCTGTAAGGGATAAACCTGATTATTGACCGAGACTTGACCAATAATTTAGTTTATCATTAAATCATACTGCAATTGACTGGCAACAAGATGCATGATGCAAAGAATACAGTACTCTGTCTGTAATAACAGTATTTTTTTTGTTGTTGTTTTTTTACCTGCAATGACACACTCAGCTTCCTTCTGCAAATTCACATCTGTTACTTGTCCACATGTAGTTATATGGGAGTGTGACAAGTTCCCGTTGCAACATAAAGTCTTGCCGTGCACTTTTGTGTAGCTCGGTATCCAGCACAAAGCTTCTTCTGACCACCAAATGCCCTCCAAGATTTTTCCCCCCTCTATTGATCGCCTCGCTGCTCCCTGGATCAGACATCTGCCTGCACAGCGGCTGCCCATTTGCTCATTAGTTCCTCAGCATATACGCATATATACATGCACATATATGTAAATACATATATATAAACACTACCAGTCATAAGTTTGGACACTTCTTCTCATTATTTATTAATTTTTTTCACATTTGTTACATTGTAGATACATACTGAAGACATCAAAACTATGAAGCAAGATACACTGAATTATGGAAAAAATTATAAATAGCCCTAAATATGTCTTATATTTCAGCTTCCTCAAAGTAGCCAACTTTTGCTTTGTTGACAGCGCTGCGTGATGTAGTCACCTGAAATAGTTTTCACTTCACAAGTGTGACTTGTCAGGGTTCATTTGGGGAATCTCTTGCCTTTTTAGTGCGGTTGGGACCATCAGTTGTGTTGTGCGGGAGTCACAGCTGACAGTCCTATTTGACAACTATTAGAATTCATATTATGGCAAGAACCAATCAGCTAAGTAGAGAGAAACGACAGTCCATCATTACTTTAAGAGCTGAAGGTCAATCAGTCCAGAAAATTGCTAAAACTCTGAATGTGACGAAACAGGCTGACATGAGGGGACCGCCCCAGGAAAGGAAGACCAAGAGTCACCTCTGCTGCTGAAGATAAATTCATCTGAGTCACCAGCCTCAGAAATCACAAGTTAACAGCACCTCAAATTAAAGCCCAGATAAATGCTACACAGAGTTCCAGTAGCAGACACATCTCTACATGAGCTGTTCAGAGGAGACTGTGAATCAGGCCTTTGTGGTCAAACAACTGCTAAGAAACCACGACTAAGGAAAAGCAACAAGCAGAAGAGATTTGTTTGGGCCAAGAAACACAGGGAAGGAACTTAGTGGAAATCTGTGTTTTGGTCTGATGAGTTCAATTTGAGATCTTTGGTTCCACCCTGCTGTGTCTTTGTGCAACGCAGAAAAGGTAAATGGATGCTCTCTACATGCATGGTTCCCACTGTGAACCATGGAGGAGGAGGTGTGATGGTGTGGCGGTGCTTTGCTGGTGACACTGTTGGGGATTTATTCGAAATTCAAAGCACACTGAACCAGCATCCTGTAGCGACATGTCATCCCATCTGGTTTGCGTTTAGATGGACCATCATTAATTTTTCAACAGGACAATTACCCCAAACACACCTCCAGGCTACGTAAGGGCTGTTTGACCAAGAAGGAGAGTGATGGAGTGCTGCGCCAGTCACCTGAACTAAACCCAGTCGAGATGGTTTGGGATGAGATGGACCACAGAGTGACGGCAAAATGGTCAACAAGTGCTCAGCATCTCTGGGAACTCTTTCAAGACTGGTGGAAAACCATTTCAGACGACTACCTCGTGAAGCTCAGCAAGAGAATGCCAAGAGTGTGCAAAGCAGTAATCAAATTAAAGGGTGGCTTTTTTGAAGAATCTAAACTCTAAAACATTTTTTGAGTCATTTCACACTTTTTTTATTCACTACATAATTACATATGTGCTCATTCATAGTTTTGATGCCTTCAGTGAGAATTTACAATGTAAGTAGTCATGAAAATAAAGAAAAAATATGAGGTGTGTCCAAACTTTTCACTTTTCTAGAGCAAAGCAGGTAAATAGCTTTCAGTATTACCTGCAGCTTGACTTGCTATGTTGATCTTTTTTTAACCCCCAGCTTATTATTTGGCCCAGTTATATCAGACTAAACCAAATACTCAAATAAAATTCTTAAGTTTATAACTAAGCTTAAGAGTGGCAGTAGCCAACAACTGATCTTCATGGAGTAACCCCAGTTTTGCCCAGTCCAGCCGAAGATGAAAGAGGCAGAAAAACTACTATATTTAAAAGTTGTAAGAATATTACATGGTATAGAAGCCAAATCAATCACATTACTGAGCAGTTTTTCTTAATGGTTTAAAAGTATCCGTGTGTATAAATTGGCTGTAGCGATTAATGGACTTTATTATTTTATTAATTTCCAAAATCGTTAGTTGCTTAACTTAAATACTAAACAGCAATTCAGTGACAGTGCCAGAGCCCTGACACTTCTAAGTAAATTTGATTTTGACTGTTTAAAATTTAATTTGGACCGTCTCTTAAAAATAATAGACATAAGTGATGGATCACTTTATAATAAAGCAATGCAATAAAAAAGCCTGATTTTAAAGAAATCCAGAGATCTCTGACTGAGCTGATGTGTGTTTATAAAGTCAAAAGCCCTGCTTTAAAATCAGGTTGTGGTCAAGTAGTCTTTTCTGTTTAGGAAAGTTCCTAATTGAGTGAAATGACCCAGTATAAAGTATGAGCTTATATAACTTTCTAAATTCTACAAAAAAAAATCATCAGTTTTGCTGGTTTGGGCTTAGCTGACGTGGACTGACTCAAGAATTTCTTCATGCTTTTTTACCAGCTAGTCAGTTAATAAGCCAAGCCATGCAGCAGCATGAAGAGCTTAAATAGAAGTGAGTGACTTCCCTGGAGATGCGTCACAATCATATCAAAGTTTGTGTATGCCCATAGATAATGTGGCGGGAGTGATGGAGTAATTGACAGTATGAATGATAAATTATTTACAGTGTCACAACAGTATTGCCTCCACCGTCACAAATCACAGGCTGACTCTCACATCGCTTTTGTAGTTCTTGTTGTCAGTGCTTTTTTTCCTCATTGACAAAGTTAAATGGTGTCAATAACTAAAATTACAGTGGCACTCTTGCAGTGTTTTAGCGACCTGGTTGTCTTTCGAGGGCTTTAAGTTTCTTCCATGCTGCATTAACATCTCCCTGTCTCCCTTCACTCCTGACAGATTCATCTCCCTTCTATATATTTAAACCCTCTTTTACTCCACTCCATTACTCCCCATAACTTCTTCTCTGCCCGTGTTTTCGCTCCCTTCCTCTTCAGGCAACAGCAAAGATGGCTCGGTGAAGGCTGGTAGATTTTAAGTGGTGCATGACAGGTGCGGCAGTTAAATGTTGTGTCATAGCAGGTGTGTACGGTGCATGCATGTCTATGGGAGGATGCGTATTTAGAAAAACTCGCAGGCTTGTTGTTGTGCTTTGTTTGGCATTTTATTTCCTTAGTGATCATAATTTATTCCCATGGACATGTTATATTTCTCCCATCGGGGGTCTTCTCATTGCACGGACCACAGCAATATCGCACTGTCATAAGTCAACATTATAGCCCGGCCACGTTAGTATGCAGATGGAGCCAGATTCTCAACTCCTGTGTATTTGTGTGTTTGAGTGTGTGTGCGTGGGTGTGTGCACAATATATATTACCATTTATATGCTGCACTTATATAATACATTTTAGTGTGTGGATGTGCATATTTACCCTCCTGTGTGATTTTTAAATTTACTCCAATTTTGTGTTGTCTTCAACAATACATTTTCCTGTTCTGCTGCTCCGATGTTTCCTCTGCTTGGATATAGTTTGTGCATTAAAATAACTTTTCCCAGACCACCAGTAATTAAATAATTGCTATGTCTTCCTCCTAATTTTAGCAGAGCTTCTGTTATCACACACACAACGTTGGCAGTGGATGTTAAAAGTGCTGTTCTATGTCCAAGTTTGATTGATTCATTGTTTTTCTCTCTCACTCTGTGGAAAATATTTCTCCAGAGTAAGGTGAATCCGCTCAATGTGACTCCACCCATACAAGCTGTGGACCAGGACAGAAACATACAACCTCCCTCTGACAGGCCGGGGATCCTGTATTCCATCCTTATTGGTAGGTTTGTTTGTTTTTATTAAACATTTTAGGAAGTTATTTAATAAATGGCAAAGCGGTACAGTGGTTTGCAGTCACATCACAGCAAGGAGGTTCTGGGTTAGAACCCTCTGGCCTGCTTGGTCCTTGGTGTGTCGAGTTTGCTTGTACTCTATGTGCCCACGTGAGTTCTCTCCAGGTCCTCTGGCTTCCTCCCACAACCTAAAAGGCATGTTGGGTTAATTGTTACATCTAAATTGGCTGTAGGTGAAAAGGAAAAATAGCATCCTTATGTTTTTGTTGTTGTTGGGTTTTTTTTTTTACCCAAACAATTTTAAATTCACTTTTTTTTTTAAGACTGATTGGTGAAACATTATTTAACATGCCACTTACACAGGGCAATACGCTCTGACTCTGTTCTTTCGAGATTATCTTGTCAAATGTAGATCAGTGGTATTGCGGTTCCGTAGGCTAGATTTAAGGCCCAATGCTAACGTCCACACTCAGAAATTTTAATATAAAAGTAAAAAGTGCATGAATTATTGTATCTTAAAGGCTGCCTTGTACTATATTATTTCCACTAGAGCACTTTGTTGTCTAAATGCAGGCTTACTTGGTGGTCCTAGATGATCCGAATTTAAGTAGTAGAATTTAAGCAAGAACATTCAGCCATCAAGCCCATTTCCTTTGGAACCAGCTCCCGGTTTAGGTTTAGGAGATGCATGTTCTCTACTTTTAAGAGTGTATGCATATCCTGTATGGCATAAGAGAGGCTTAAAATGTTCCTTTTTAAAAAAGCTTAGTTACACCTGGATCAAATGATCCCAAACCAAACCATCCCACTGTTTTAGGCTCATGATACACAGAGAACTCCATTTATTTATTTTCCCTTTCATATATGTCATTATGTTTTGTGTTCCATCCTGTTTGTTGCTCATGGTTTCAGCTTTCTGTCATTTATTTCCCCCCACCAACCTCAGGTAATAAGGTTGGTGAGAGCATCTGAGCCTTTTTTGTTAGAGGTTTTTCTTGAACCTCTTCTTTTCCACCGTTACCAGGTGCTTTGTTGTGGGGGATTATTGGATTGATGAGGTTCTCTCACTAATCAGTGTTTTTACTTTACAGTATAAAGCACCCTGAGCTGCCTGTTGTGTACTAGCACTGTATAAATAAGCTGTGCTGAATCAAATGGAATCAAGTAACACACCTACAGAAGCACCACAGCTGCACACACATTTGCCATCAGAGTGGAGAATGAGACCAGGCCTAAATGTCCCTAAGGCTTTTGATGAAGCAACTTAAATAGACAGTGATAAAAAAAAGTATGCTCTGGACAGTTTGTGAAAGATAACATTTTACAGAATTACAGAGGTGGAATTGTTTCTCATTAGTGCTTTATACGTATCTAAAACTATAGGATAACTGTGCATCATACAAAATATTTTGATTACCATTTGAAACTATAAAATGCAGCATAACAACAACTTCAACAAGTCAGGATGTGCATAGTCTGTAGAAATGTACTGACATGACTTGACACAGGCTTGATTAAATTTCCCAGACCCCTCCTGTGAAACTAATCTCTCTCTGAGTGAGGATTATTAGAGAAAGTGTGACAATGGGCAAAAAAAAAAGATGTTGCAGCTTTGCAGCTCATCCAACATTATGATTCTAAATCTAAAAACAGAAATTACTGTTGAAAGTAAGCTGAGGAATATTTAATGTGAACTGCAGTGGTTTTGGTTCCACTACTTGTGATTTTTAAGGAAGAATCTGACAAATATTTGAAGTGCCATTAATGGAGGCAGGTTAAATAAATCAAAAGTGAGGCTTTTATTTTACTGTTAAACATCTAAATGCGCCAGTTCACCTGAAAAAGCAAGAAACACGCAAGAGGTAAAAAGACACAGAGAAGATGGGAATTGCAGCACTATTTATGCACAAAAAACCATTTATACACAAAAGGGTAATCAGGAAATAGGACACAACGGGGTAACTAAACACAGGTAAAGATAATCAAGGACAATGAGACAGGAGGGGGAGTAAAACATTTAACACAGGAGACAAATAACTATCAAAATAAGACTGGAGTTGATAATCTAACAGGGAAATGTAGACATATGAGTAAACTTAAAAAAAAAAAAAAGTAATTTATACAGGAGGATGAGATGAGATTTTTGTGAGACCACAAATTAAAATCTAAAACAAACAGTAAGTAATCTAATAACTAAAAACTGAAAATATTAAGGAAATAGAAAAAGATGCAAATGTAAATAGTAATAAAAGTAAAAAGAAGGAAACATTTAACAACTTGAAAAAAGTCCTCCATATGAGACGTCTGTCCAGTTGTACTCTTGCTGCATGTCGTATTTGGCCCTCATTCTTTCTGAACTAACATAGAAATAACATTAAAAGAAAGGGCTTTTGCAAAATTAAGATGCTTAATATATTTACCTAAGCTTGGATTCTAGGTAAAAACACATGCCTTAGATATAATAATAAAAAAAAGATATAATATTGGGCACTCACTCAAAGAAATTTATGTAGCACATTTCATTCCAAGTGGAGGCACAAAGTATCCATAAACATAGTAGAAATAATCTGTCTTGCAACGTGCCATCTCTCAAAAGCCAGTCAGATCAATGCTAGCTGCTGTAGCTGTAAAGATGTAACATAGACCGAAGTGCACACTTGAGAAATGTGATTGTGTACATCTGCCTGTGTTGCTGCTCTTTTTACCAGAGCTTGATTTCCCCATTGAACAATGTAGCCTTCATAGGAATCATATATGTACGGGCGGTGTGTACCTGTTGCGAGCTGCGATCTTTAAACTGGGAGCATTATCCAAGTCTCTTGCCTTGGATTCTCCCTCTAGAAACCCATCAAGCAAACATAAAGTGATTCTAACACAAATGTTTCCTCCCCTCTCCCACAGCAGTATATCTTCTGTTAAAAATGCATTTTTGGTTTGCTCTTACTGTTTGTGTTTGTTGTCCTCTCTCTTCCAGGCAAACCAGAGTCCTATGTAGAATATTTCCGCTTAAACAGAACCACAGCAGAACTTCTGCTACTGAAGCCCATCGACAGAGAGCACTACCACAGATTTGATCTGGTGATCAAGGTGAGAAACACTGCAGCAGCAAACAAGGCAGTTTTAATGAGATTTTCTTTTTTCTTGCATGTTTCTTCTACCTCAAAGAAACCCGCCAGTTCACTCTGTAGTGCTTTTTTAATGCCTTTAATCTACAAATATTCATCAAGTTGATCAGCAAATCTCTAAGTCCTAATAAAGACTGTTTATATTAGGTTTATTTTTTTCCTGACGATTAAAAGTAGTCTGCCATGAAGACATTTAAATGATAGTCATTTTGAAGCATTCGCTATAGTAGTATGCATGCATATATATATAT